ACAGGCCTGCGAATTACAATAAAATATGGTCAAATCAAAAAGTCTCAATTTGGAAACAAAAATAGCGATGTTTTGATTTTTTAAAGCTAATCCTTGATAATAAAATGTATTCTGTTACTCAAGGGATTTTTCACTTTTTTCAAGAAAAGGAAAAAAAAAAAACGGAAAGGGATAGAAAACCCGTGGACTATCTGCACCGAATGACTTGCAGGAAGGGTTCGTTATTTTCATGACACTCAAGACAGAGGATAAGCGAGGAAAGAAGCATGTTACATGTATGTTTGTTGGATCAAACTTAGTTGTTGGACGTTTTGAAAAAATACATATAACTTTTAAGTTATTTAATGCTTACAACAGAATTTCTTGAATATTGTGCTCGTATTTAGAGCTATTGTTTAATCTCTCGAAGTTGTAGTGCATGCAACGAGTTCTGCTGCAAGTAATGGTAAGGATAGACCATGAGAGTGAGGGAAGGGGGCTGTAAGTTACATCCTCAATAAAAATTGAAACAAATGCAGGAAAATAATAATCGAATTAAAGTAAAATTTGGGTTTATTAGGCTGTGAAAAGAAAAAAAGGTGTTCATTTTGTACTGTGTGAAAGCTTCCTTACTAGCTTCCTGATACTTCTTTTATGTCACATGACTTTCAAAGCATAGAAAATCAAAGTACTGAAGGTACTGATGGGAGTTGATTTTAAGGAAGATTTATGTTTTTAACCTTGTTTACAGCTTTTCAAATTATGTACAACATTATTGATTCTTAATTTGGTATGCGAGTATCAAAAGACTAAAAAAATGTCACGATTCTAAGGAGTCAAAAAAGTAAGGCTTGTTTTGATTTGACCACAACTTTTGAATGATATGCAAACACGTGTAAGACTTCTTCATTGCTCAAATTTTTTCAGTAATTTAAGGTATTTTCCTTACCAAAAATTTGTTTAAAAGTGCCAGAGCGACTTTTTTTTCGTCAGAATGTGATTCAAGTTGTTGATTCCGCTCCTATACATGTATATATAAAATCTTAGAATAAATGATTTTTAAGTGTACGTTTGAATTTACATATAGAGAAATGGAGTACGTTTTGCTAATTTGCATAGGCGCCATATTGTTTTCAATATGGCAGATTTTTGTTCAATGCATTATAAAAGAAAAAAAAGCATAGATTAAAAAATATTAATTCGGAATAATTTCTTCCTCATTTGATTCTATCTTTTATTGTGTCCTGTATTGTTCGTTTACAAAATGACGAAAAGTTGAAAGTTCATTTCGAGTTTGAAAATCTAAAGCGAAGCTTCATTACAATGATATTCATGTAGAAAAAATGTGATGAAAGAGCTTACAAGGTCTTTATCAAGCCAATTTATAAATATTTGTCATTTTCCGATTTCATTCTCATCCTGCGTGAAGTTGTCAAATTTGCAATTTCAGTTTCTAAGATACATGTAATCAGATGTTGTTTTCTTTTAAACTGAAAATCCTGTTTTAGACAGAATTCAGAAAAACCTAACAAACACTCCCAGTGTGGAAAATGCAGGGGTTTTTTTGGTTATTTTTTTTTTACCTGAGAAAATATTGAACTTCATTATTGTCATACGATGAGGGATACGATCAAATAATTACTTATATTTCATTATAAAAAGATTGATAATTCATTATTATTATTATTATTTTTGTTGTTGAAAAAATCACAAAAATAATGAATATTCATTTGCGACGGTCACGTTGTCATTAATTCATGAATAAGGTGTACAACATTTAAACATGTGATGTACTCTGACCAAAGTTAAATCACGACAAATACCATCTATATTGGTGATGAGAAAATTAATGGAGCAACATGTATACCAGAAATAGAGATTCTTCTCAAATTTATGCCCTCTTTCCAGATTTGTATTGTTTGATAGATTTTTAGAGATCAATCACTGTCTGTTATCTTCACCTTTTTCATAGTGACTTGGATTTACAATATACATCTTCACTCTTGTAAAGGTGGAAAAGACTTACCAGATTTTCAAGTCTATACCAATAGCTTATCTTTGATCTTACAATGTCGAAGTGTAGGGGAAATCTACCAAATTCAGATAGTACAGCAAAACTATTTGCATATTTATGTACATCAAGTATTAATTTGCAAACTTTCAGTTTATCACAGAATGATTTGGATAACATCCTATCTATTGTACCGCCAGGGATGCTTTTTTTGTAGTAAATGGATTAAAATAAACCCAAATTTCATATGCATACAATAATTAAAATAGGGTTAATTGAATGATCAAAAAAGTGAACAATGGTTTTAATGTCTAAATTTATTGAAACTATGAATTTTTTCTTCCTTTTTTAAAACTTAATTAATTAATTTATATTTTTGATAAAGTTAATATACTTTGAGCAAACGATAAGAGCATGAGAAATGATACACTTAGGTATATATTTGTTTAAGATACACTATATATGACATAACAGTGTATTTACATATAAATAAATTTCGTTCGTTTATAAATTAAACCTTATTGCGTGGCATAATTCATTTTTAAATGTATCATTTTTATTTTTTATTTTTACTTTTCGCTGGAATCTAACTAAGATTGCAGCGAGATGAAATATTTCATTACAGGTACATTAAACCACAAAGCAACATATTTGGTCTTTGTTCGCAAATATATACGAATCACACGGTTTTGTTTTAGAAGGAAATGGGCTATTTCAACACCCCACTCCACTCCAAACATACTCAATGTGCCCAAAATTAGCAAAATTCTGGATCCACTCCGAATTCCGTTCTATCAACAGTGAACTAATTGTTGAGACAATTATGCATGCACAGCATTAATATTCCTGCAAAAATAAAAATATTAAATAAGCCATCTCAATTACACATCTAATAAAAATTAATCCTGTGTATACTATCAATAATTATCATTCCAGGCACAAAAGTAAAAGGCTGCTAAATAAGTTAGTCAAGTAGGTCACGTCTGCTGCAGTTTGGAGATTTAGAACTTTACACATATTACAGATACTGGAGGCCCGCTGTGATAATCAGTCTTGCTCGCATATGTACATAAACATTATAGGGTTTACATCAGTTGTCTGTATCAATCTGATTTTGTGTTCTCTGTATAAACTGACATGCATTTAATCGTATGTCTGATTATTAATCCCGTTATTATGGGACTCATATTGTCGAAGCATGGTGTTTATGCATTGTTTTAATCACGAGGATACCTTCAGCCTTTCCCTACAAACTGATGAAAATGACGTATCTAAGCTATTTTAGGAGCGAGTTTCCTATCTTAAAATTAGAATATATGCACTATTTTCTTATTCGCAATATCTGTAAATCTATTTTCTTACATAAATATTTAGGCCTGCCGTTTACTGAGATTATACATTGCATTTTTAAATCTTCACACCCTGCTCAATTTGTAGTTTAAACTCTAATTTCAACATTTCTCCCATTTTCACAACATCCTGCATTTAATTGAGGACACCCCCTTGGTAGCTGTTTGTCATTTGTATGTATTGATGCGCCTCTGGCGCGCTGACTATGAGGAGTTGATAAAATCAACTCCCAAAAATCTCGGACTCACCCGCCCCAAATGAGTAAAAACAATGTATTTGAGGAAACTCTAGTATTGTTTACAGGAAAGAGAAGTGAATTATACAAAAAATTGCCAGAATGAAGGTTTATTTGTACATTTCCATTTATGTAAATTGTACATGTGGGAAACCAGTCTGGATTCAAGTGCGAAATTACATTATTTACTTCCAATTAACTATAAATAACCTCAGAAATATTTATAATCATTTGCATCCCTGACACATTATTTGGACAGCTTCTGTGCAAAATTTGATGTTTTACATACTAGTACATTCATTAGTTGTTCAGTCCAACACATAATTTACATTTATTGGAATTACGCCGATTGACTGGTTAACTTAGAATCTTCATGTGTGTAAGAATATTATCCACAACGAGCCTATGGACCGCAATGCTTACCAGGGTCACATTTCTCTCATTCTTATTGCAAGTTTTCTCTTGCCCTCTTATTTGAACCTTCTTGTAATGAACAAGTCAACCTACTATACTCTCAGAGAGTAATGAAGCAATAAGTTTAATATATAAAGCTTTTATCCCTTGACTTCAGCCTGGTGCTGTTTAAATACCAAGCTAGCCTTCATCACAGCAAATAAAAAAAATATAGCACTACACTTATCACTCCTCAAGACAAAAATATACACTGTACATATATAGATCTAATACTACAAAAATAAGATATTTGTATTTATTTACCTGCTGTATCTGTACATCTACTTGATTATTGATATTTCAAAGGGTGAAGTAAAATGTTGATGTAAAACAAAATGGCATTTTTGAATGCCTCTAATCACAGGGTATTATCCATAAAAGTTGATCTACACAAATCATGATCATTGAAAGAAACATGGCTCTATATTAAGTAGCTGGATGAAAACATAAAATGCATCTAGCATGAGAAAGATTTTAATATTGAAGACCTTATGAATAAGACATTTGTTAAATTTAAATAAAAAAAAATAATTTATATAGATAAATTATTGTTGTTTTTTTTTCTTTAATCTAGCACCAGTTTAAATACATGTATTAATAGTGCAATATAAAGGCACATAAAAAATCTGATACAAAAATATCCAATAATTTGTAATAAAGATATGAATTATTTACAATATACTGTAAACCAACTTTTAGTCGCCTGCGAGAAATATTCGCAAGTTTCGTGATCTTCTATAACTCGCGAATATTAATCCCTGCGAACCATTTATTTTGCTTTGTATTTGTATACAATAATTTCTCAGTCGCGAAAATTAATCATCGCGGATTGATTTCAAACTGACGAATCATGAATAAAAGATGATGCGAATAATAGTTGGTTTACAGTACTTTCATGTAAGATAAAGTTTTACTGACACACCCCAGCACCTGTTGTACAGTTTGATCCTGATTCAACAGTAAACAGTCTACCACTTGGCATACACACACACATCTTGTACACTGTTATGTTAGTGTCCGCTGAGTATTGACTGCTGTTTGGAGTATCCTTGTTGATAAACGTATGGTTGGATGCTTCAATGTTGATGTTTCCTACCTAAATTTAACAAGGAAAGCATGATTTTTCTTCATCATACCCACCCAAACAACCCTCTCAAAGTGTTTTTTTTTTGGAGTGGATGATCATCATTTACATTATTCATGTACAGATTTAAAATGCTTTCAATTTTACAAAGAATGTACCGGTATTTAAACAGCATATGATGAAATACATATACAAAGGGAATTCAAATTTCTCTTTTACAATGGTTCAATCTAATTGAAATTATAATTATAGATGTTACATGCACTAGCCTACTCGCTGCACAAGGCATATAGCAAGAATGTGAGCAGATCTAACATCTAATTTTACTTAGATTGACAGTGGTAGAAATGATACGTTCATTTAAACAATAAAATGCTTTCTTTGGTTGATAGTATGGGAATTGATGTTGCAGCTGTTGCAGAAAAAATGCATAACCTGCGTAAGCGGGTTATGTGATTTTTTTCCTGCAATGGCTGCAATGTTAATTCGTACTAACAAAGAAAGAAAGACATTTTATTGTTTATATTTATATCTGTGCAAATATTCATTCAAAATAGGATTTAGTAGATGAAATAATGTATTATTGATATGCACGTCACTGTACGTTTCATGGAAGGAACAGCCATTGCTTCAGAAATGTGTAAAGGTGATATGCTTGGCGGTGTTTACGGACTGATAAATGGCAATGGTTTTCTTAAGAAATAAGGGAGATAATATTCAGTGGATGTAAATATTAAATGATGGAAGAAATGTCATCATTAAGCTGAAATTGTCTTTTCTCCCAGAGATCACCTCTTATACAATATTCAAAGACATAAACTTTAACCGGATGGCTATACATGTGTAGCTGTATTCATAACTGAGACAAGAATGACTTACCTTAGACTGAACAAGAAGATTACGACCTACATTGATGTGAATATGTTTATCCCGAGAGACCATATCAAAACTCTCCATTCCTGTTAGAAACATTCTATCGGCCTCCATAACTAATCTATCCACCCCAGGCAAACTCTTTATCTGTATGTATTCAACATCATATGACTTATATTAAAAATAACATTTTAAACAAAGGCTACTCTGGTATTTTAAATACATGTACAAAAGCTTGCAGAATAATATCCTTGTTTTACATGAAAAATAGATGACAAAATGATTATGATTTTTAAGATGAATTCTTAGTTTTTAAAAGATAGATGATTCTAGTATTTGATATATATATGACAATATACTGGTAAACTTACATGACCAGTTGAAAGAAATGGGACATGCAGATTTAATCCAGCATTTTGAACATTGCTCCATTTTTGAGATTTGGTTGAGAAGAAATCGGTTTTTGTTTCCAAGTCAGAAACCACAAATTCATCCAAAGAATGGAACTGAATTCTGTTTGGATTTATTATACCTAAAGATGCAAAGAATCAAGTACTTTTTGGCACAATTTTAGCTGTACTAGAATTTACAAATACCTCTTTTCATGTTGTAACAGATACTGAATACGTTTATATATACACTCAATGACAAAATAAATGTATATTTGAACAATTTACTTTATATATTTAAAATAAATGTGTATTTAATCAAATCATTTTATGTAACTGTTTTAAGGACACTTGCATCAGAACATAAATATATTGCATCTATCTGCCTTTTACTTATACTTACCTTCAGCATCTTTCTTCTTTAAAGAGGATGCATTTAATACAATCTAAAACAAAATTTTATGTATAATTCATAATAAGTTTTCTTCCCATATATGGAATAACCATGAATCAAACTTTTCACAGAATCCTTTAAGTTAATATTTCAAAAATTGTGACCTCCTTTGGAATACTTAATTGCTAAAAAGTTTAAGTACATTGTGCATATACCAGTACTGGTATACCTTTAAGAAATCTGACAAAATGGTGAATGTGGATCAGAAATAAAGCACTGAAAATTTTGTATTCCATTGCATTTTTTTGTTTATAAAAATATACCATGAGATCATCTCTCTGTTATTTGTTCCTTTGACGATGCAGTGTAACATTTTATAGGAAGACAGTCTTGGTCATTTACATGAAAATGAGTTACTTCCCATTAGTCAACTTTGCATTTCCCAAGCATTGGTTATCAATGTTTTTTTTTTAAAGTTTTGTTTAACACATGATAGAATTTACATAAACGGTAACCATGACATGCATATTCATTTGAAATTTATGTTGCACACATCCTGTATGATATTTTATGTAATTATTCTAAATGTGATCAACTGACAAAGCTTATCTTTCAATAAGGTGAAAGAAGAACCATACCTGTTGTCCAGAATCAATGTTTAATGAAGAAGCATGCCTGCTGCCAATTCCACCTTGGTACAAACTGATAGAGGGCAAGGTAGTCTCTGCCAGAAATCGCAGCAGATTGTTTTCTGGGATAAACTCCAGCATTTCTATTCCTTCTGTGCTCACTCTTAGCATGTACAGGATACCTGCTGTCATCTAAATAATTGATAAAAATACCCATATGATTATACAAAACTGCTTTACATCAAGTTATGGGAAAAAAATTATTGTTTTCTAATTGTATCTAATTCTAAAAATCCCCTTCTCATGAAAATTCTCTGTTTTTTTTTTTTTTACTACATTCATGTAATTGAGACATTTAGTATTTTTTAAAATTTATTATTACATAATATATTACGTGTTACAAAATTTTACAAATCAAACTCCTGTAATAGCCATACAAATGACTACATGTAATATTCTCTTCACTGTACTCTTCAACAATTTAATTTTACCAGTATATTAATATACAAAAGAAAAAAGCTATTAATTTATAGCCGTCTCCCTCAATACAAACATCTGATAACCCTTTTCTTCTTTTTTTCATTTTTTTGTTTTCAGGTAACTTCTGTTTGCAGGTGTGTGCCCCCCCCATCCCACCCCACCATGGCTCAACTTAATATTGTTAAACGCAGGTAAGGTAAGAGGACCTGGTTCCATTTGACTTTAATTTTTCCTCCAATTAAATAACACCATTTGAATTTTTCAGTGCCTTTTTATGAATTTGAGATGATATAAAGATGTGGATAGACGATAAGCCTACTACCTTTCTTATTTCACAATAATACATAATGTCATCATTTTTTCCAGATTTTGCTTTTTTCAATTCAAAATAAAAAGGGTATGTATAGGACTCTGTACCAAAAATTGGTTCCATTAAGCCCCGGGCATGCATGGTGCAATGGCACCTTTGTCTATATGCACGATTATGGGTCGTACTTACTACGCACACAAGGGAGTTGGCAGCCCTATATTAATATTTAGTATTTACCAATATATTTAGCAGAGCTAGAACAACCAGAATGAAGATAAGGCAATACAGCAGGTAGACTTTACGACCTCTGACCCCAGTCCTGTGGAGATACTGCTCATCAATGTTGATGTACCCGGCATTGAAATTACTATTGTGTTCCCTGTTAACCCGCCGCTTTACAAAGTATCTACCTCTCCTCGTAACTACTTGATTATCTGGGCTCTGAAAACATTCTGAACAATCAGAAAGGAAAATTGGATAATTCTGTTGATGAGAATTCAATACCCTCTATAAAGAAAAATTATGACAAGTGAAATAAAGCTGTATTTTACAAAATTGTACATAAATGAATTCTACTCACATCATCCAGGTCCATTTTAGATATTTTGATTGCCGAACCCGATTTTCAAATATAAGTTTACAACTTACACCTTGTCCTCGTTTTTACAAAAGAACTTACGACTAAGACCAAGATGTAATTTTGTAAATAACTTTCTGATTTACATTTATTTGAAAATTGTTTTAATCTTTTAAATAAAAAAAAATTAGAAAGATATTTTTATGCAAGCAGTTTTTAACAGAATCATTCATTTTGCAAGATTTTACAATCAACCTAACTTTTTGGTCTTAGTCGTAAGTTCTTTTGTAAAACGCGCCCACGGAAGGCATACTGTATTTTTGATGAATGAATAACTGAGAGTAAATTTTTTACACAATTTTAAGAAAATGCACTCACTTTTACCAAGGCAAACCGGTTTCGATAAGCTGCAGAGTGTTTAGTTCTCTCTTTTTCAAAAGGCTGCAAAGTCTTGTAATTAAATGCTTCATATTTCGTAGGCTAATATACGATAATTCCGCATCTCGAAAGAGATGGTGTGTAAGAGAGAGAGAGAGAGAGAGAGAGAGAGAGAGAGGACATTATTTAGCCCACCCACACCTTTAAACGATGTATATGAATCATTTGTTTAGAAAGCCCAAAATTCATAGAATCAATTAATTGTAAGCTTACTCATCTAGAATAGATCAATGAAGAATGTAAAGCTTACACTATCGACAACATATTGGAATCAAATCATGGTAATGAGGTTATTGTTTTACTCATCTCTTCTATACATTGCGTAATGTACAAATTATATTTTTACTGATAAAATGTTCTGTTCCTCAACCGACTACTTAATCAAACGGCCAATGTTTCACAGCCGAGCACTGTCAGGATGCTTTGGTATAAGGGGTTTTAAAAGGCAAGGGGTATTTTGTATCCTCCGCGAGTAAACAGTAACTTGAATATCACAGTGTGATTTTTGTATGGAATATTGTTATATACAAAGGAGAAACGAAAAACTCCAGATTGCTTTTGATGCCGGGGCAGCACCAGTAAAAATCAGTTAACCGCTGGGCTAATGAATGCAGAAGAGAAGCGCGAACCGCAGTGCAGACGTCTTTTGACAATGCTGTGTCAGTTAATGGATTGCCAGTGTACTTTATCAAAGACCAAGGAATAATTTTGTGTAGAAAATTCTGTTTCTGGAGACTTTCCTATCAATCGGTGTCAACATGAATGGATATACGGCAGTGACTAATTTTAAAGACACCACAAAGACAATAAATATTGACAAACAGGAGCCTAAGATTGGAATTCATAAAAATGACTGTAATTTGGACATTCCCGAGTCAGACAGTGGGGACGATTCTGAAAATACTTATAGACCTTATAGTGACACAGTGGATACTGACGCCAGTAACACCCAGGACGAAGGGGACCCGCCGTCACCGCCTGTGTCCCGGGTAGCGGACAGGTGCTTGTTGAACAATTTGAATATAGTGAGTAGTATAATAAGCAGCGACTCGGACAGCTGCACGGAGGGGGAGTTTATCTTGGACCGTGGTGGGCAGACGACAGACGAAACCAGCACGTCGTCTGAATCTGATGAAACGCAGATGTAAGTACTGATTCCAGTATAAAGAAAGTGAGAAAAGGAACCTTCTAACCACTTCATGTGGATTTTAAAAAATCCCTCGGGGGGGGGGGGGGGGGATTGTATAATTGTGTTTGAATCATTGAATTTTTTTTTTAAACACAAAAAACAAACAATTAGGAGCAAATTTGTTTTACATAAAGTATTTCTAATCATTAGGCATGTTAGATTTATATCAAAAACTGATCTGCTGCATATTATGTGTCTCTTTAAGAGTAAATGTTATCACCATTAAAAGAGTAACTTCAAAAAGAAAACATGTGAAATGAATACATTGTATTAGGGACTTTAAAATTATTATTTACGGTGTAGTTTTAATGAACATGTATTCATGAAAACATTATTACAGGAAAAACAAACTATAAACAGATGTTGGCTCATAGAACGAGCGCGCAGGGGGGAAGAGAAAGTGTTACCAAAATGATTCAAATACTTGGAATGTAGTAATTTCGTTAAAACAAATGTTTCACTGAAATGGATTCGGTACGATTAAATGTTAATGTTGATCAAGGGTTATCTAGTTTTGTTTTATGATGATTGCGCTGCGACACTAATTGATTCGGTATTTTAAGGCAATTACTCAGAGAAGCTTTCTCTGGTTTTTGTTACGAAGTACGGAGCAATTAAAGAATTCCCTAGGGTGGATAACTGTCTGTCTTCCAGGTCAACAACTATCTCTAATGTCCTTGTCAGGTTTGGAAAGTAGATGATATGTGTCTTACCTAAATTATCTATCTTGAAATATAGACATTAAGAACAGTAACAAGTGATATGTTTTAAATCAATGTCAAAGTATTAAAAATAGAGTTGTCGTGTACATGCTGTCCAAAGGAATCCGGATTTCTAACCAACAGTCCATTTTACTTTGGAAAACTTAAGGTTCATAATCGTAGCAAGTGTCAGAGTAGGAAAAAAATGTCTTTAGTAATTTGCTGAAGATCAATATCTCCGATGATATTCCAGATATTTGCAGTTGCACGCATTTTCGTCAAGAAAGGTGCGAAATCGGTGAAATTGCAGAGATCACTTAAATGAAATCCATTAACATCGGATTTGTTTCGTTGCTCTGGGGCTTTTTCCGTATGTCATCCTCACCTCGCTGTGTGAACTTCTGACGGAACGACCGGGACACATGCCGGCCAGACACGAAGGTGGCTAAGTGGATCCCCACGGGTCCCCAATCGATATCACTCACAAAATTACCACACTACATTTTATGACAGCATTGAAGATTATGGCTTATAATTTGATTGAGCTGGAAGATTAGAAAGCAGACATTCGGGGAAAAAATCAACTTTTGAAAAATTTCGAGTTTGTCTATTTTTTTGTCTTGAAAAATTAAGAGATTTTCAAAATTCGAATATCTCACTATCAGGTGGCAATGTACATGTACTGTATAAGATTTCTTGGGGCCCAGTTGGGGACTCATGATGACATTGCATTGATAAATTTACTCTTGTTTCCCAAATTTACATGTAATTCAATATCATTCCATATTATTTCTTTATTTTGATGGAAAACTAACCGTAGAGCGAGATTAAAACCATCGGGTCAACAAAGTCGATACAACCTGTCAAAGTCTACAGGATTGTTATTTTAAAATTTTCCTTAAAAATAGTAACATCTTGTTTCTCCCAAGTGCTAGATAAATCGATGACCTATAGACACGCCTTCACCTATCAGCTTATATGAACGTTTGGTCGGAGTACGAACATTAATCTCTCCTCGCGTCCATCATCCTTGTTTTTCAGTTTTTGTGGACTTCGATAACAATTTTATTTAATTATGTCATTGAAAAGACCTTGCTTTAGGAACCCGAAACTTCCGCCCATTCTTCTTGACGGAGACGTTGTCATACAATTTATCAACATAAAACTAAAGAAATCCCTTAGAAAGCCAGTGTTAGATTCGTCGTTATCGTAACCCTGGTCTAAAAGACATGAAAATTAAGAAAAGGTTGGAAAATTTAGTATTGGTGTATTAGACCCTTCATTTGAACGTTCTAATACAATATGGAGGGGTTAAAGTAAGGAATTTTTTACACTCTGGTCTGTTTTGTGGATCAGTTGTCGAACAAGGACCTGACGTTAGATACTAAGAATTGATTATATGTTATGGGAGTTATGAACACTTAGTAATTAAAATCCTTCAACAACGTTCCATTTTTTGTGTTTGACTGGATATACTTCGAAACTCAAGATTGTCGAAGAGAAAAGGGTACTAGTATAGAGCTGATAAGCAAATTATGATGTTCTTTGAACTTTTATGAAACAAATTTAGATAAAAGATATATATTACTATGTTATTTTGATTCTGCTGAAATATTATGATGCTAATATTAATTAAATACAAGATTATTGACGTAAGTGCTATGTTAACAAATAATTTACTTTACATAGTCTGGATAGTTTCCTAATTTGAGAATTTCGTTTGTATACATGCAAGTAATTCATTTCTGTTGATTTACATACGTACTATACATGTACTTATCAACTTATGCATCTAAGAACTAGCGCTCGATTTAGCTGGTAAATCAAGCAATTGTTCAATAAAACAAAATAAATCACACACACACCCTCACACACCAAAGAAAAAAAAATGAAAAAAGAAAAAAAAAACAACGAAACAAAGACCCCCCCCCCCCCCCAAAAAAAAAAACGAGAAAAAAATAAACAAAAACAAAAACCGTCTGATAGGTTACAATGTACGTGTAACGGTAATTAAGCCTAATTAAAATGCCAGATGAGAAAATTTTTCAATAGAGCACATCGTGATGCCTGTTCTTGTATTGAAGAATATAAATAAATTTAAGTGTACTGCATGGTTCTCAGCAAAAAAATAAATTTACATTTGTTTTCCTTTTACTGCGACAGATGGGTGGGAAACCGAACAAGGACCAGTGGAAGCGTTTCCACTCCTCCACTTCCTAGTTTGACCAGCTCCAATGCCAGTGACAGTCGTGTCCAAAGCCCCAGCAACCGGAATAATACAATTCCACGGTACTCCTCCCGTGAAGTTTCCTCATCTGGAAACGCGTCAGTGGTGACGTCACAAGCGGGCACTGGCGACGAAGCTAACGTGGGCAGAAGTCACTCATGGCATGAACTTCCAAGTGACGTTGAATGTCAGATTCAGAGAAGGTCGTCCAGAAACATCAGTCTTTTACGCCATAACCCAAGGACTGGAAATACAGAAACAATTGTGATTGAGACCCACCCAAATGGAGATTCAGGTATCAGAATTTATACTTAACATGTATCCATGAATTACGAAAGCCGGATAGGCTAACGAGTTAGTTATCTCGTTATAACGAGTTAGTTATCTCGTTATACGAGTTAGTATCTCGTTATAACGAGATAATTATCTCGTTATAACGAGTTAGTATCTCGTTATAACGAGTTAGTTATCTCGTTATAACGAGTTAATTATCTCGTTAT